TGTATAATTAAGATTATTCAATGCATGAAAGCCAAGATAGATAACCCTTCAGAAACAGTAATGGGAGTAATGATTCCCTGAGGGTATGGGGAGGGAGGGGGGAGCTTATAGCAATGATGACTGTATAACCCCACTCAAGAGGAATGGGTAACAGAATTGTAGGTGAATGGATACATTGGATAGTGTAAGTTAAGGGGAAAAAATAATAATAATGATATATAATATAATAATAAGGGTTCCTGGGGGTTAGGGTGGGAGAGGGAGGGGAGAACTGGGAGCTGATATCAAAGACTTCAAGAAGAAAGAAAATGTTTTGAAACTGATGGTAGCAGCAATTGTACAGTTATGCTTGGTCTAATTGAATTATGGATTGTTATAATATCTGTAAGCTCCCAATAAAATGATTAATAATAATAATAAAAAGACTATCTCAACCAGTTGCATCGACGTGACATTTGAGGCATCATTTTATATGCAATGTATTACTGAAAAAAATTTTAATTTTTTTTTAATCAAAGAAGATAGATGATGCCAAACTTTCCGCTGTCATCACCGAAGTGGTCTCCCGAACCCCTGCGCCAACCACCCACTCGGCGGGCTCACCCCCTCAGGGGCCCCCGGTAAGCAGCCTCTTTATTGTTGTTGTTGCTTATTTTCATGGTGGCATGTGTACAATAAAGCATACACCAATTCCAGGATGTCTAGTGTCTAATTCTGTGACACTGAGTACATTCTGTAATGTCGTATAACCGTTTTTCCTGCTCTTTTCGAGATGATTCCACTACCATTAATATAGACTAGGACATACATTGCAGTGACACGACTCCTTGGGCAGGAATCCCCAAGGTCAAAAAGGGGGCCCTTTTAGGGAAAAGGAAAAAGAAAACCCAACAAATCATTAGTAGGGTGCCTTCTCTTTCAGAAGGGCGAACACCAGTTAGGGACTGGGGGACAACCAAGGACCTGGGAAAGTGTGGGACACTCATCTGACAAGGGTAAGAATGGTGCCTGATGAAACCAGAAGTACAACAAGGTACACACAAGTATTTAGATTTTTACAATCTTTCAGGGATCATTCAGTTTCTCCTCCTCTCTGATTTTCCTGGCACATGCTGTAATCGACTACCCACTGTTTAGCCCGCCATCATGTAATTCCTATTTCCCCACCACCACTACACAAAACCGAGCAACACTTGCAGCCTCTCATGAAATAGCCCTGGATTCCTCCCACTCACACCAGCCAAGGCCTGCTTTCATTATTCACACGTCCTGAGGCCAGGCTTGGGGACCAAAGCTTTTCCAGACATTCCTTGATTCATTCTGTGTGGTGCCAAATCATGCATGACACAGGGTCAGAGCACATCCAAAGAAGGAGGGATTGCCCCGAGCACCCCTCCACCTTGGGGTGCGTCCATGCACTTGGGCCTGGTTTGCTAGATGGAAGTGAAGTGGCTTGAGGGAAGTCAGCGATGCTTCTTTGCCTTTTGATGTCCCATCGAAGCTTGCTTACTGTTGCAGTCTGAGTTTCTGAAGAGATATTCCTTCTTTTGAACCTCAGGACCCTTTGAAATTGCCCCAAGCTCAGACAACACAGCCCAGGTGGGGCCCTGGGGGTAGCTCCTCCGTGGACTCCAGGGAAACCAATAATACCATGTGTGCGTGAGAGCAAGAACGAGAGAAAACATGGCAATGGGGATCCGAGTCCTCACGTAACAGAGGACTGCCCCAAGGCCACACAAAGGAAGGCTGTTGATCTAGTTGAATACGGAGAGATGGCAGTCAATACATAGAATAGCTGAAAAACTCCTCACTGCCATTGAGTCACTTCCAATTCGATGGAATTGGGGACAGGGTAGACTTGCCTCTGTGGGTTTCCAAGAGGGTAACTCTTCATGGAAGGACAGAGCCCTATCTGTCTCATGTGGAGCAGCTTGTGGTTTTAAACTGTTCCTCTGTGGTCAGCATGCAAACACATAACCACTCTGCCACAAGTACACTTGGAATACTGTATATGGAATCGACTTTGTTAAAAAATACTTTAAAAAAATTTAGAATTGCAAGGTACTAATCATAGTAATAATAACGTTTTGTGCTAGCAAGGAACAAGTGTTCTTGTAAACCTCTGCTGTCCTCTGAGCACTTGATGAGCCTCAGTCCCATATCTCACTACTCACCACTCACAGGCGAAGACAAGGCTATACGAGGGGCTGCATCGCGTGCCTGAGTCAGACAGTAGACAAAGGGTAGCCGATAGGAGCTTCCATTACTGACCTCCATTGTACTGGTTCCAGTAGCCCTGGGGGAGGGGGGTGTAGTTTTCCCTCTGTCTCAGCTCCCATCTCAGTCCACAGTGCAGCTTCCATGAGCTTCCTGAGATGGCAGAGAGAGGTTCCCACCAGCCCAGAAAACCTGGGAAGTCCTCTGAGCCCTCTGCTCTGTCTCAGTGCTGTGGTCGAGGAAGGATTTGAGCGCAGTGTTGAGCTCCCTGGCTTCCCATGGCCCTGTTGTACTTGGTAAACTGTACCCTTCTGTATCTGGCCTCGGGGGATACCCACACCCACAAAACCCAAGGGAAGGAAACCCTCCATCTCCACGCAAGATCCTGATCCTTAGCGTCTCACATCAGCAAACTTTAGATTCAGTCTTATAGCCATGTTTAACTTCTAAGGAAAGGGATTGACTGGTTCATTTTCCTCTGGAATCGCTCTCAGTCGAATTGTTATGCTCTAAGTCTAACCTGTTGGAGCATGACCCTTGACCCTGCCACTCCGCCTTGGACTAGGCGTCACAGGCATGGGCAGGCCTGGATAAAAGCCTGTCTAGCCAGAGAGACAGGTGTGTTGTGCATCTTCCTGGTGTTTCTCTCCCAGGTCTCGTCTCCCCCTGCTTCAGCCCCCTTGTCTTCAGCTTACAGGGACCCAAGCCTATGCCTCAAAAGAAGGGGATTCCGTGGGATTTGCCTGTGGTGCATTGTGGCTCATTCCGAATCACTTACTCTCTTTTAGCAGGGTGACAACAAAGACCTCGATGATGCCCTGGATCAACTTTCTGACAGCCTGGGACAGAGACAGCCCGACCCAGATGAGAACAAACCAATGGAGGATAAAGTAAAGGTAAAATGGAAAGACCCATGAAGGGTATCTACTCCCCGAGATTCCACTGCAAAGGAAAACGAGCACCCCTGACCTTGTCAGAGGTGAATGACCGCAGTCTGCCTTTCCCTTCGCCTTGCTCAATGTTGCATTTTACTTCTCTGTCGCCAAGGCTGTGGAGGGTGTGGCACCCACAGGTCAAAGTCCTATGTGGGTGACCCCACTCTTCCATCAGAAAAGCACAGCCTGGCTTGTTTGTCACATTTATCCTCTTCCACATCACTTTCCTTAGCTCTGTGTAGCAGGGCGCTGTATAGACAAGTCCCAGGTTCTCTGCAGGCAAGGGGCAGCGTCACTATCGGGTAGACGGGCTCCCAGAAGCTTTCCCGCAGGCAGAGCCAGGTCTGAGTACAACCTCCCCCATTAAGCGGGCACTGGACCAGGAGTTCAGCGTGACAGAGACGTATCTGGAAGGACACACACCGTTAATTCCACATATTCTGTCCAGTACTGAACAATCTGTGTCAGCAGTCACCATAGTAGACGGGAGCCTGGAACAAACTCTCCGGCCAGTCAAACTCATGTCCTCCAGAGCAGACTCCTCACAGAGCTCTAAGGTCTTGATTCTGTTGTTGCCACAGAAGGATGGACAGGAACATAAAATATTTGAAAAAAAGGAAATTAGAATGATGCAGAAAATTAAAACCCTTACTCCCATGGTGGGGCAGGGGGAGTTGGTTGGGTGGAGGCCTCTGTAGAGACCCACTAGCCAAGCCCCAAAGAGACAAGCTGTTGTCTGCCTCCCCGGCAGCCCAGCCAATCCAGCCAAAAGGGCTCCTTGTGCCGCCCTTCAGGGTAGGGGTCAAAGTTGTCTATATTACCTCCAGATAGGCCAGCGTGTATTTTTTTACCCTTGGGTTTTATCTCCTCCCATGGTTTCTGAGGTAAACTATTTAATAATTTATATCCATTTAGATAGTGGTGTAGTGGATTATGAGTTGGAATGCTAACCACAAAGTCATAAGTTTGAACCCATCAGCCTCTCCAAGAGGGAGAGACGAGACTTTCCATCCCAGTAAAGATTTACAGCCTTAGAAACCCGCAGGGCGGTTCTACTCTGCCCTGCAGGGTCGCTCTGCATCTGCATCAACTCGATGGTAGTGAGACACAACAAAGACAATATGAGATGTTGACTGGATCCTGCTTCAAAAACTAGACAGCTGTGACAGATATTTTTATGAAATCTGGGGAAACTGAATAGAGACTGAATATTAGAGGCTGTTGTGGAATTAGTATTTCTGAGGTGTGGTAATGATGTGATGCTTACGAGACCACTGTCCTTATTCTTAGATGTGGCAGAAGTACTTAGAGTGAAATGTGATGTCTGCAGTTTACTCTCAAATGTTTCAAAAATATATATCTTTTAGTATATATGGATAAAGGAAATTTAGAAAATAAAATACGGGTAGAAGCCTCACAGATCTAAGTTGAAATGTACAAGCATATGTGTTTGTTTATTTCTTCTTCTTGAGCCCATTAAGACTGTATTTGTTGTTCTGCTGTTAAAACAAACACTCTGTTTGGCCTCGTAAAAGTGCTCTGAATGCCGAGCATGCTCTCTGGAATGCATTCTCTAGGAGAAGTGGAGATGAGCACTCACTGGGTCTGTTCCCGGGGTGTAGGAAAGAGCTCAGGCGGAGCATAGAGACAAGCTGGGAGAGAGAGATGACACGATCCCACCGGAATACCGCCACCTCCTGGACAACGATGATCAGGTGAGTTACTGCAAATGGCTCTCTGGGAGACAGTGGTATTTTTCACCCCAGATGGGGTTCCTGCTACACAGCTTTTTTAACCCTCCCCCTCGCCCCCCAATTCACCCCAAGTGAAGTGTATGCATGTCATTTCACTTGAAATGAAAGCTGCACTTTAACAATGGGATAAACTGTAACGTGACTTTTTCATGGGTCCCCAGTGCTGAAAAGCATGCAGCCGAGAAGTCTGTGTAGCAGCACGGATTTGATTCTGAATCCAGCAGTGGTCACTGTTGGAGTGGAATACTGGGCCACCAGGGAGTGATTCTGAGACAATTCCTATGCTGGAAAAGGTGGTGAGCCTGATGGAAGTGATGGAATTCCAAAAGAAGCAAAGAATATCTTTGATATTCAAGCGGGAAAGCCAAGCGGGAGCCATTCAGGGACTGAGCAAATAGTTAGGGCGCCACCCAGAGGTGAGGCCTCTGGCCTTGAGGTCTCGTGAAGACGGCAGGCGAAGCGCAGGCCTGCTCCTCCAGCTCAGTGCTCTCTGTCAGGGTCGCTGGGCTTTCTCTCCGGGGTGGAGGCCAGTCTTCGTGCTCTGGGTCACCCCGGCCTGCCCTCCTGTTACACTCAGCTCCTGCTTGTGAGACAGGTCAACCATAAATAACCCTCCCAGGCCTCTTCACCAAGTAAGAACAAGGCCTCCTGATTGCATCCTTCTCTACTGCGTGGGTACTGGTGATTGATTTAATGATCTAATGATTCCCAGCCTCCGTAGCGCTCTTTGTAGCATGACTTACTTAGAACACTCAACTCAGAGTTAATGCTGACTCCTAGTGACCCTGTAGGACAGGGGAGAACTACCTCTGTGGGTATTTGACACTGTAAATGTTTACGGGAGTCATTTTTCTCCCGAGGAGCGGCTGGTAGGTTTGAACTGCTGGTCTTGAGGTTAGCAGCCGAAGGCATAACCCACTACCCTAATGGCATGTATAAAAACAGTGTCCTTGATTGTCGTCAGGATTCCTCAAGGGAGTGCACCACATGCTAAATCCGCCCTTCTTTGGCCTCAGTTAATTCTCTGGGAACTGTAATATTTAATACCCTTGCTTTTGAAAAAGGGAAAATCACGGATGCAATATGTTTATAATCCTGTCTGAAAAGCATCTACAGTGAACCCTCGTTTATCGCGGTTAATCGGTTCTAGACCCTACCGTGATAAATGAAATTCCGTGAAGTAGGATTCCTTATTTGTAAATCAAATATTTTCATAGTTAGAGCATAGAGGACATGAAAAAACACCCTTTAGTCACCAT